CGAAATCCCTATGTGTCAAATGTCAACACATTTTGCTCTTTATTGTACGTAACTTGCAAAGGCGCTTTAAGGGCAAAATATATCTATATTCGTAGTATTTATACTGGCAGTGAGACGGGCCGAATGCTACGACGTAGCGAGCGTAGCGTCGTACTGTATGCCTAATTTATATGTAACATATTTTACGTGTTTATAAAATAGGTACTAGTGGCCACTTTGTTCACATATATATTTATTGATGTCTTTAATTTACGTTAATCAAACGATACAAATAAATAAAGCATTGATACAACGCCATCTTTTATTTTATTAATAACATAATATAGTATTAAATTGTATTTAAATTTATTAAGATAAAGATATTAATTTATCCCTTAGTGACATATTTTTTTAAGTTTCCTTTAGCCTATGTGTTACATTATACTATATACGGTTTTGCATTTTTTATATGTACCTTAAGAAGATAGTGACCGAGTCTAAACTGGATTTGGATTATATTGGTTTGTAACTAAGAACTCAACAAAGAGTAAAAAATGTTAGATATGATAATGAAATTTAAGTAGTTAGCTACGTAACAATGCCTAGCTTGCATAAGAATGCTAAGAAGATTGGCACGGAGGGTCTCCTGAAGTCTTGAATAAATCTAAGATACAGAAGCTTATATTCTAAGGCTTGACTAAATTCATCAATTTATAGTAATATGTTTTTTACTGCTTAAGAACTAGCTCAGCTGTTAACTCAGAAACTGTTATTAATAAACTACTAAATTATAATTTTGAATATTGACACAACAAGAGAAAAATTTCAAACGCTTATTATATTGGTCAATATATGGTACCATTTTTGTTATTATATTCACAAAATAATATACATAGAGAACAAATCTATTTCTAATAATCAGATGAGAGGCACATGTAGTTTACTATTATTACCACTACTACATAAAGTACATACAATGAATTATACGTTTTCACCTTCGCACTTACTACAGTTTGGCTCACTTATATTAGATAATATTAGTATGAAATAGTTTCATATTGAAACACACTCTATTTTTACGTATTACATGGAAATGGAATTGTGCACCAATTCCGGCAGTTAACTGAAGTGATTGTGTTGGAACAGTTATGTGTTTCTACATTCGTATATTGCAATTTTTCTAAGTGCCGCCTGTACCAATTTTAGTTACTTTTTATTGTTGTTTTAATAGCAATCTATATTGAGTGCCGAAAGATCGAGTGCTAGTTTAAAATTTTAAATAATACAAGATAGGAAATAGAGTAAATACAGAAGGGAGTTCGTAAATCATCTCTGTTTCACTAATAAGATACATGTATTATACTGATCCCTATTCTCAATTGTAATGTTCCTCTTTTGTGTGTTTTACCGCAGAACTTATTTCTAGTTATTATAACATATTTTCTAGGTTTCTTTTTTGTTTGAAAGCTTCTTACTTGTTTTTCTTCTTATGTGTTAAGCTTCTCAAGTATTTGATTTATCCTTTTTAATTTACATAAGTCGGTTTTCTCATGGCCTGAACATGGGCATAAATTGTGCCTCAGAAATATTGAACTGATTATAAAAATTCCTTCATATATATATACACCATGTAACCATGAACAGCACATTATTAAAAAAAATAGCTTTTTATATAAAAATTGTACCTACTTCATCCGAGGTCGGTAGTAGATATAGGCATTGAGAGACTTGTGTAATATTTTATTACTTTATATTATGGCTAAATTCTACATAATATTTTCAATATAATTCTTTAAAACGTCAGAAGTTTCACATCTCACCCTGCGCGTAAGGAGATAAGCCGCGTGGAGCTTCAACATTTTTCCTTACTTTACAGGCTTACTTCTACTGAAAGCACCGAGGAGGCCCAATAAGCCTTCGCGAAATTAGCTCTTGATGAAAAATAATGGGAATTAAATTATGAAAGAGTCAGACTAAAATAAGATATTTTATACATACATATATCAGATGTACGAATGTGTTTATCCGAACGATGTAAATTTTGTAACATTATAAGTAGTTATTTATAGAATATATATATATATATATATATATATATATATATATATATATATCTACACTTGAATCAATGATGTGATATTAAAATCTTTTATTGATTTCCGGGTATTATTACCGTGCAATGGATCTTATTGTATATACAAAAATATACATAGTTACAGAACCACCATGAAACAATTATAATGATACTGTACAAAATAGTAGATATTTAATTTTAGAATTAAAATAGTTCAATATTTGTTTAAACTATCTAATATCTATCTATCTAAACGCATACCTATTCCATATTTTGTACGAAAATACTCAATTGCTGTAACGTATATCTACAAAACTACTATATAGTTTGTATTGATGTTGCTATATAGTTTGCAATGACGTTTGTAGTGATGATTTGTAATGGTGTGGCTGTATATATATACAGCCACATCATTACAAATCTTCAATACAAACGTTTGTATTATACGGGAATATAACCTGTAGCCATCGAAAAGTGAATAAGTGTGTTAAACCACTGTACCACTGAGATCGTGATTACATAATCGCATCTAGACGAAGTTCAATCGTGAACACAATATTTTTAGTTTAGTCCATAACGAATATCAATGTTTCTCAATATCTATTGGTAGCCTTGGAAGCGACAAGCACGTGATGTGACTCAGAAGTAAAACAAAGTCAAGATCTGTCAGTGGATAAACGAGCAGCTGCTTACTTTCGCGAGATCCCTCTCTGGTAATCCCGCAAAGCCGGCTAGATGCGGGAAGAATAATCCCAGGGACAGGTGAGGCCAACCGTACTTCGACCTGAGGATTTGAGGTTTGTTTATGTTATATCGATATTTATTGATTCGTTAACCATATGAACTTAAGTCTAGAAACGAGCGCGATTTGAAAATATATCTTTTCTGTCTAACATACTAGCGATATTTTCGTAAAATTAGCGTCGATTGTGACGATTATTATTTTAATCGAATAAGTATTTTTTTATCATCTATAACAATTTGATTTTGTAAATATCGAAGAAATATTTTGTTTGACAGCCTCGTTGGTCTAGTGGTTTAATATTCCGATTTATTATCTGATGGCCGCGGGTTCGATTCCTCGTACGGTACCAATATTTGTATTCATGAGTATAATTATTTGTATCGGTCTGGGGGTTTTTTAAGCATAAATGTATTTATTTACAAAAATGTATCCATGTACCTAATTATATCAGTTGTCTAGTACCCATAACATAAGCTTTGCTTATAGCTCGATGCTGATATGTAAATTGTCCTGAGATATTATTATTTTTATTATTCTATATACAAATATGTATATTCACTATGGAAGAGTATAATTTACAAAAAAAAATTCGTAAATTTGTTAAATAAACAAAAATATTTTATTTATATTAATATCGACTAAAATAATGTTCTCTGGGGGTTGATGAATTTAGTTAAAATAGAATGGCATAACTAATATATTCTACAGAACATGAAACGAGTAATGTAATGTTCGAAGCTACGTCACTATAAAAACAACAATTTCGACTTAGTAGGGACCAAGTTGGCTCGTCCACTTTGTAACAGCAGGCTACTAAACCTAATAGGTCTAAAACATAGTTCTGATTCATCACTTCCGATTACAATTAGATGTCGAAGTTTGCAATTAATATCGTCCAGAAGATCTGTAATATTGACTTTCAAGTGCAATAAGAAACTTCAGCTTTCAATATTGAGTTGGGTTGATAAACTACATAGTTACGACCAACAAACAGAAACTTGAATGTACCTAACTTTAGACAAGACGGCTTGAACTTTGACATGAGGATTAACCCAATTGATACTAACAATACTTACGTTAACAGTGATCACTAAACGCGCCTCGGTGTTGAGATGTAGGAGTAAAGTTTATTATTATCAACAATTTATTGACAAAAATGTGAAATGTCAAATTTTTAATTTATTTATAATTCTTTGTGTCAATATTAAATATAGATAAAAGGAAAAAAAAAGCAAGATTAAAGAGCAGGTACAAAAGGCGGTCTTATCGTTTACGCAATCTCTTCCATCTCTTGTTCTTTTTATTTTAACGATATATTATGAGTTATTACCTTAATTTGAGAGAAAGTATAGAAACTTTTAAAGATTATAAAGGGTAAGTTTGACCTAGACGCAACCTAATACAAAAGTTAAGAGAGGTAATTGCCTATCTTATGTCTATCAATACGTTATTCATTTTAAGAAATCCCTAATTTGTTTTTATATTACAGTATTTTGCAAAGTCCAGCTGCCATAGTGATTTGATGGTCGTAATATATAGTTTTCACGTAAATGCGTTAATTCTGTTTAATATTTTATTTAGATACATTTTAGAGATAACCGCTGGGTATGATACATGTCACAATATTGAATTGCTTATATTGTGCCTTCTGTTTATAGTTTCAGATATAGTAGGAATGTTGTTGTAGAATTTAATTTAGTTATTGCAGTTGATTAAATTAGTATTCCAATAGGTTTAGTGAGTGTCGTTTCAAATAAAAATCGGTGGAATATATTATTGTAAAGTACATATGTATATAGTTAAACGTAACTTATCTAATGTGCATGTTATATAACCATTACTATAATTAGGTATACTTCCTACCAACTTATGTATTACAAAAGTATTATTCTATTAGTAGTATTAATAAAGGACTGGAAGTAGAAAACACTACAGGTGAATGTTAGTAATTTTATTTATCTATCTACTTTAAAAAGATTACAAAGTATGCAAACCATAATTTTACGTAGTTATACCACCATCCTATAATTTGTTACCTGGTCTCCTCATAAAATATGAAATAAAGACAATGTCTGTATTAAGTACTGAAGTTATAAAATAGACAATCGTTATAACATTAGACATTACAAGCGTTTTAGTTATAGGACGGTACAAATATTAAAGAGTCTATTTCGTTTTAAGTCTTTAACATTATTTAAGACTATGTCAGAAGATATAAAAAAAATTGCCAAAAAAGAAATACATACCACACTTCTTTTTTGTAATTTCTTCATTCGCAGAATAGGATTATCGTTCGTTGATGAGATACCAAATACATTATCACAAAAACTTAATGTATTATCAGCTTTTATAGGAGGATCATCTCTAGTAATTTTGATATTGACTGGTGAATATGCCTATATAATTTTTTTGTTGGCTAATTCAGTTTCTTTGGAGAAACTAATTGGTGGTAATGTACATGTTGCCGGATATGGTACAATGAGTAAGTATTATTAACTATATGAATCTTAAAATATCATTCTAGCACTGCTCAAAGTGTATATCTTCCGAATCTACTAAATTTTGTACATTGCAGAAATAAGGTACATTTATTACTGAAGGTCAGAACCAACAAAATATCCAATTTCGTATAACACTATTCTCTTCATAATTAATATTGGCATCGCTGAACTTAAATATTAAATCCTTATATGAAACGAATTCGAAAACTTTAATGTAGTTCAAAATTTTTGGGTACAGAGACTATGAGGGTAAACTAATAGAATTAATAAAATTGGTACCTACTCTACTCTTGCATAGGTATAATTAAAGAGTTATTACCACGTCTATTTTTTTAACAAAACCAAAGTTTCAATATCAGATAAACATAAATTTAATAATAAGAGTCCATGCATTTCTTAAATTTTTTATAGACACTCAATATGTTTTCTTTTTTTATTGGTTTTGGAAAACTACTGACTATTTGGTATAAGAAAAATTCATTTCGGCAAGTTGTTAACGATCTTGTCGACGTTTGGCCCGTTCATGAAACAAATCCGGAAGCGGTTGCTATTAAACATAAAAGCCTTGCATCACTGCGGTCAAGACAGATGTGTGAGTATCAAACCATATATCACTGTTATCGATTTTTGGATTCACGTAAATATTTTTGGTATATAATAATCGACGAATTGATTACAAACAATATTTATGGATGATATGAAAGAAGTAAAAGAAATGAGAAGATATATATGTAGACATAGATTTCGGATTCATTCGGACTTAGTTCTTGCTGCCTTCGTTTATTACTAGTAGAGGATACGTTATAAGTAATTTGTTTTCTGGGAAGTTATAAATTATAAAAAATAAATATATATAACATGCAATATGCATACATTTGGACTTGTATATTCTTTGGCTTCTGTTGCGATTTGAAACTGTAATTTAACATTTTTTTAATTGCAGTGTATATCTTCTGGAACGTATTAGGTGTTCTATTATATAGTTTGACACCAGTAGCTTTGCATTTGTATCGATTAGCCAGAGGTTTGCCCTCCGAACTGGGCTTCGTGTGGCAGATATACTATCCCTTTGACAAAACGAACTCAATTGTTCACGAATTTGTTTATATATTCGAATCATTTGCTGGTAAGTCAGTACGTACTGCTCAATTACAGTCTTGAGTAGTTATAATAACATCTTAGGACAGTTCACACGGCGCTATCTAGTGCCAAGTTAAGCTAGCTAGAACTTGTTGTAGATACTAGACAACTCATATAAATATATACATATATATATATATATATATATATATATTTTAAATTGAAAACACCCAGAATGAATGAATACTAATGTTTGTATCTTGGGAGGAATCGAACCCGTAACCATCGGAAATAAGGCGATGTGCTAAACAGCTAGACCACCTAGGACATATTACTGGGATAGGTGCAAAAAAGCTTGTACTTTGAGGGTACAAATATGAATTAAATTTTTCTATAAAAACGTTATTATCGTTAACGAATAACGATAATAATGTTTTTATAGAAAAATTTAAAAAAACATAGCGCGGACAATACTACCTTATTACACTAATAATGAGTGCGTAGCGATTTCTATGTTAATTATCGCATGCCTCTTACTTGTTACACTGTAATTATTTATATAAAAAAACATCTATTCATCTAAAAGAGCAACACAAAAGTTTCGCTCATTCGTCTTGTGATGAATCTGCTTTCCGAATTAGTGGTAGAATCAAAATATGACTATTCAAAAGTGCTTGTAATAAGTTTATTTGAGTAAAGATTATTTCTATTTCTAAAAAAAAAAGAGACAACGGTAATAAGTTAATACGATAATAAGTTGCTTATGTAACGGAATGTTATGTTGTGTGCGTTATTGCATTAATCACAATATTTTCAGGTATAGCTTCAGTTTGTTCTATGCTTGGTTCAGATGTCTTTTTTATAACGATGGCGAGTCATATCAGTATGATGTTACGTATATTGCAAGTTAAGATAAGGTCTCTCGGCATGGAAATGGCTACAGATGGTAAAGCTATTGGGGGATTGTGTAATTGTTATGACGAAATTATTGAAGTGATTAATATACATCAGAAGTTAATCAGGTAATGGGGAATTGGGGGAGTGAAAACGTTAGATAATGCAGTAGACAAGAATTTAAAGAAGATATTATTTTCAGGTATGGAAATGATCTGGAGGACGCTTTTTCTGTGGTGAACTTGATAAATGTACTTATAAGCTCAGTCAACATTTGTTGTGTAATGTTTAGTATAATAGTGAGTACTATCTATATATATTAAAACAAAGTCCCCCACCAAGTTTGTCTGTATATCCGTGATAAACTCAAAGATCAAGAATTTATACAGTTTTTTACATCAACAGCGACTTCTGACGAAAGTTTAGGCATATAATTAGTTTCGGTTTTATGAAAATTAATTTAAATGTGAAAAAAAAACTTGTGAAAAGCCGTGAGGGGCTGCTAATGTTGCATTATTATTGATATTTGAACTAACTCATTGTAACAGAAAGACCTAATATTAGAAACAACTTATCGTCTTATTATGACTAAAATGCATAACTGTATATTATAATAGGTACATGAAGTATTAACCCTAATTTATATACTATTAGTTTCTAGAACCGTTAATGGAAATGAGCAATAAGTTCTTTCTTGGAGCTGCATTAACTCAAATGGGAGTAGTGTGTTGGTACGCTGATGATATATACAGAGCGGTTGGTATTACATGCAAGTTGTTTTGGTACAAAATAAAAAAGATACATTAGTCACTTTATTTAATATATTATATTACGGTATGTAAGTTATGTTATATTACTTAACATAATAAAATCGCTTATACGTATTATGTTAACTCCTCCTGAGTTTCACCAAGAAATAACATCAACAAATTATTTCTTAATCCTGCCACTTGGGATTAAAATATTATCTGCTTTGGAATACTTATGTTACTGATTACAGTGTGTTTAGTGATAATGTTTTTGTATGAATGCTGTTCACATTTTAAATTTGTATAAATTATTAATATTTTTTTATTCTGTAGAGTGTCGAGGTATCGAATGCAGTATTTGAAAGTGGATGGTATAATTGCAATGCACAGTGTAGACGCAGTCTCCTTATCATGCTGCAGAGGTACTATTAATGTTACATACTACAACATATTATACGTTATTGCGTTGCACATGTGTAGAGTATTCTCTTTAGTTCAAAGACTGACTGGCGACTGACAGAGACTGGCGGACCCGAACATTCCGCATCGCCTCTCCCAGTCATCACTTTGTTCAATCACCAATTCCATTCAAACGGCGATCGAAATCACGGCGGCCTAAACTGTAGTCATACGATTACAGTTGACCGTCGGCGGGCAATTGGTTTTCAGCTATCTTTTTGCATTTAATGTAGTCAATTATATCATTGTAAGAAACTTTTATTGTAAATGGTTTTATATAGATAATTCTAAATTTATTTCAGATCTCAAAGACCACTATATTTCACTGCATTGAAATTTAACTCGATAACAATGAGGACATATACCTCGGTGAGCTACTATAGTTTTAAAAGACAGTGAGATTTTTTTATAGTTATCAGTAAATATAGTGACCAAGTAAATTACTTATATGTCGATGATTTTTATAGCACACACCACAATTGACAGATATCACTGTCGAACAAAATCTGATGATGTATTAGCTAAAATACCTAAACTTATCTTTAACCATTTCCTATACCAGAGGTAATGTAGGTAATATGGTGTTTATGTACTGTTCTGTCAGTATAGTAAAAGATATTAAGTATGAGAATATATAACCACAAGAGAAGACAAGACTCTATACGAGAGTGTATTCTAGCAAAGTATACTGTACAAGATCATTGTTCATCAACATGACGAACCAGAGTACCTTATTTACGCAGATTGAAAGTAACTCAGGCAGTTCTATCATCACATGCAAAATTACCATGTATCTTGGAGTTTTAATAATATATTTTAGTTATTATATTATATTTTTTTAAGCTTTTTAATTTTAGGTTGTAGTTGTACAATTAAGTTATGTAAATAAAAATCTTGAAGTTTATATTAATTTATACTCATACGTTATTTAAAAATAATACTTGGTGGTCTAGCGGTTTCACACACCACCTTACTTCCGTTGATCCCGGTTCGATACCTCGAACGATACAAGAGATTTGTGTTCATGAGTATTGAACTGGCAGGACTGTATCTAACTGGTACACAGGCACTCTGGGTATTATCCATCTATGAATTTATTAAAAAAATGTATTAAAGTATTTCTATCAGTTATTTACTGCTCATAGTACAGGCATTACTTATTTTGGGACTTAAGAAAGTCCCAAAATAATTAGTGCCTGTACTATGCAGATTAAAATAAAAAATTACATATTCGTATGTATATTTTTCAGATTCTTACAACGTCGTATTCATACTTTGCGCTGCTGTATACATTATATCGTGAAAATTAATTCTCCTGATAAAATTATTACACAGAGCGGTCGACTCGCCTGCGCACTGGTGTTTAACAAATATTTCATAAAATATAGGTAATCTTTAATACACATACACATCTTTCGACGTTGCTATAAAACTATAGTATATATAATATTTTGCTCTATTGTCAATAATTTCCGCAGCATACGAATCCAAGGATTTTATTTGTGATTTTAAGTGTGTAAACTTTTGGTTACATTATAGAAATTTTCATATAAATCTCTAACGTTTTTATAAAAATATTCTATAACCTTTGTTTATCGGGAATAATGATATGTATAATTCTAATGGTAAAATAGTTATGCAATTAAGTCTAGTATTTCGAAGCTTTTTCAATGCAAACAAACAAACAATCTCATATTCATAATACACACAATGAAGTAAACAAAGATGTAATAGAGGAAAAACAGACGAATGTTTCAATTATAAACTATTACAATAGATAAGATAATATTACATACTATTACTATGTTATTTAATGCATTCACTCACAGGACTAATTCACTCTACATAATATATCTATAGTTTCTCTACTTGTACCGGTAAAAATATATAAATAAATGTACATACCCATTTGGCTATTTCTTTTATTCCTTTGTTTGAAACATCATACAGAACAATTAAGATTTTTAATGAAATAAATCACCATATCTTAATATATATAAATCTTCTATACGTATCTCTGTTAATTTGTTCCTGGAAAGTTTGATATGGTGGGTGGCTCCGCTTTCTCGGGCAAGGTGTCTTCTGCTGGGTCCACAAGTACATAGTAAAATATAGAGAGACTGAAATTTAGTTCTTCAGTCTATTGGTATTTTTTATTAGTAGGTACATTCATCCGAAGCCGAGGCAAACTATTCATTAAAAATTAATATTATAGAGTTTTCACTATTATGATATCGTTAAAGCCATAAATTTAGTCGCTTTTACTTTAAATCCAATTAATTTTATAATTTTCAGTTATATTTTAGCCAGAAAATTGATGTACATATTTGTTATATTTACTTATTAATCTGTCTTCCACCACCAAAACCAACGCTACTTCAATACAGTAGTTTATTCTCATATTAATAATACTCGTATTGATATTGATATACCTACTATTTTTCTGGGAAATAAAGGATTCAACTATATTATTTTTCCTTCGTACTGATCCTTGAAAATGAATATTATTATTGTAGACATAACAATTGATGTATATATTTGTACATTGTGTATTGTGTATGTAAATTGTTTGTTTTAATTCTGTGAGGAGAACAAAAAAGAATTTCAATTTCATTTCATTACAATAATTTTATTATTGCTATAAAAATAAATATAGTAATATATACAATTATTAAGAAAATCTTTGTGGAATAATATATTATATTTTATATAATATATATTTGTTCATTAAAAGTCTTTAATGAACAAATATATTTGAAAACAATAGTTTTTAGTAACTATTGTTTGCTACAGGCACAATTCTATTTCTCTAATAGTACCTAATGTATCATACTAAAGGTTAGTTAAGCATTGCAGTACAAGATAGTACATTTAGATGTTCTATCATGGAGACTTAATTTAAGAGTTCTTGAAACATAGCGGTATAATAAACTACATAAGACGAATAAAACTTTATTATTATTTTACCCGGTTAATTTAGAACAAAACATATACCAAATGATAAATATTCAATATAGATTGAGTTGCATTTCAGTTATATTAAAATTAGTGGGTCATCGTGTATCAATATGTAAATTTTACTGGGTAAAGGTTTTAATATATTTAAATAAAAAATGTATAATGTACAATAAAATATTACAGACAAAAACAAACGTATAACATATTTTTAAAGTGATATCACAATATAAATCAAAATAACTACATACAATCTTTTTTACCATGTCATTATATATTTGTAAAAGTAATTATATTACTTGAATAAATATTTTATTAGGCAATCCCTAAAAGACATGTTCGAAAACCATAATTTTTGTTATGAAACTCTCATTATATTACTCATAACTTAGCCCCTTTATCAAATATTTAATGGAGTAAAATGTCTATGTTAGCATACTATAAATACTCACTCATCATTTAATAAGATTGTAGTTATAAGTTGGAATTGTCGTCATTAAGGTACAAATTAGTTGATTTTCAATTTTATTATTTTGAAACTAATAATTGAAAACAATGTCAGAAGATACAAAAAAAATTGCTGAGAAAGAAATTCACAATACGCTACGATTTTGTAACTTTTTCATTCGTAATGTAGGACTATCATTTGTTGACGAAATACCGACCACATATTTCAAAAAAATATTTGTATTAGGATATTTTGTGGCAGCATTATCCCTTATACTTCTCATATTAATTGGTGAACATGCATATATAATCTATATTTTTCATAATTTGGTTTCTTTGGAGCAACTAATTGGGAGTAATTTACACATTATTGGATATGGGATAATTAGTAAGTATGCAATGTTATATCTAAATATATATATATATAAACACCTCTTTGGGCACTTTGTTGATCACGCCACAACCTAAACACTTGCCGATTCCACCTTTTGCACTGAATAACTTGACTCCTATCGCGTATATCTCAGGCGGTATGGCAACGTCGCATTCTATTTTGCGATGTGGCCATATATATCGACACATTTTTTACTAATAATTCGTGCATGACTGGCTCCGAACGGCTAAATTTTTGGTATACACAAAGACTTTTTGGCTCTGAATATATTCCAAAAATCAATTAATTATGTTGATCACTTTATATACTCGTCCTTACTGCGATACTTATTCTCATCCGAATATATATAGATACCGTAACGGTCTATCAATTATGAATTTATTAATTTACTAATGTAGATATTTTATATTCGCAATGCTCCATACATGCAAGCTCCAGCAACGGTGGAGGCAGGGTCCCCCCTGCACCGTACACCGCACCCCGCGCACACAAACAAATTAGATATTTTTTGAATACACAAAGACTTTTTGGCTCCGTATATATATTTCAAAAATCAATTAATTGTGTTGATCACTTTATATACTGGTCCTTACTGCGATACTTATTTTAATCCGAATATATATAGATACCGTAACGGTCTATCAATTATGAATTTATTAATTTACTAATCTAGATATTTTATATTCGCAATGCTCCATACATGCAAGCTCCAGCAACGGTGGAGGCAGGGGGAGCACCGTACACCGCACCCCGCGCACACAAACAAATTAGAATAAATTAAATTCATAAGATTATTTATGTATTTCGACTGCCTCGGTGGTCACACCGCTTTACATCCGATGGTCGCGGGTTCGATTTCTCGCACGGTGCAAACATATGTACTCATCGGTCATCGATTGATTTCATCGGTCTGGGTGTTTTATATGTATATTATATATGTATTTACAAGATTAAAATATCTATTTATATCAGTTCAGTATCAGTCTGTGTTAATTGTCCAGCGCTATTTATTATATTTTTATAAACGGTTATCTTTTTCCATCGCACCGCTCGCTATCGACAGTGAATTCATAGAAATGTCACTCTAAAAACAAAAATAGTTTTGTATTTCAAATACTAAATGCAAAATAGGTATTTTCAAAATAAAGTACCTTTTGAATTTTTGTCCAAACCTCAGATATTTTATTTATTTTACATAGGTATATCAATCATTACATAGTGTAGTATAAAACAAAGTCGATGTCGCATCTAACAGTACATAAATAAAGAAAGAAGACTTTTTGGCTCTGATACCGTAACAGTCTATCAATTATGAATTTATTATACCTAATCTAGATATTTTATATTCGCAATGCTACATACATTGTAATATCCGCCTCCATTCATTGTAACGGTGGAGGGACTAAATAGTTGAATAAAACTGAATAAGCAGTTGCTCCACTCTATAGGTATGCGTCGTCGTCGTATGCTGTTCATTTTTTCACTCGTTTTGGCGCCAAGAGAGGGTCACATAGTCGTGGTCAAGTTAAGAACTTATAATTTAATTTTGATGACAATAGATACAAGTAAAAAGTAGGTATTATATTAATGTATAAGTACTGTACTTAAAAATATTTATTCTTTATTGTACATTTGAAAAACTTAACACTTAAGGACTTGTACATATACACGTACATACTGCCATTTTCTCTTAAAGACATCCAGAGAAGCACTATTTATCAAATACGCGGGGTGCACCGACCTTTGACCTTATAACAGCTGATTCGCGCGTAACGAATTACATTGCTACTTACATTACTATTTTATAGTGGATATTTCACTATAAAATATTATTATTTCTTTAGATTATGACCAATAGCATAGTTTACATGATTTTAAGGGAAACATACGATAAAAAAATTCCCGTAAAATATAAAAGATAAAAAATGGTTATTGTTGGTTATCCTTGAGAGATAGACATATACCATCACGGACTTTTTTGTTGACCTTATTTTGATACATCTCAAAGCACTAGACAATACGCATTTTCATTAAACAGTATTGTATTTTTTTTATTTATTTAACTTTAATGCACAAAAAAATTTGTACATGTGGCGGACTTAATATCTTGCCGCGTTATTTACCAGGCAACCATGAGTGGTGCAGCGAAAGATTATTGGCGGTGCACTAATATAAATAAGAAATGTCAAAAAAAGATATATAAATACAAAGCAAAATATACATTTCTATAAAAAAATAACAATATACATACATAAATATATAACCCATAAATGTATAAATAAATACATAATGATCTGATAATCAAATTATAAGTACAGTCTCAAATTGAAAGTAAGAAAAACAGAAAATATAGAGAGAACTATAGGGATATAACAGAAAGATGTGAAAAATGGAGAAGGACAGTAAAAAAGTTACAAATTTAAATAATGTTGCCGCAATTTCTGTTTAAATGAATTTATTACATTATTATATATATTAGGCATACGACTAGCCTTATGACTGTTACTTTTTTTTTAATCTATACATCTATACATGTAAATAAAATTGGAGTGTCTGTTTGTAATATTGAAATAACCGTTTTTACTACTTGCATATGAATATAAATCCGGTACATACACCAAAATAACATATTTTACAAGTTTTGTCTGTCTGTCTGTCTGTTTGTTCCGGCTAATCTCTGAAATAGCTGGACCGATTTTGACGGGACTTTTTTTGGCAAGTAGCTGATGTAATAAGGAGTAACTTACGCTACTGTTATTTTAGAAAAATAAAATAAAATTTCACGCGGACGAAGTCGCTGGGGCCAGCTAGTCTATAGATATACCGAGATTTAATATTTAAGTTGCTATTATGTTGTTGACAAAATTTTACTGTAATGTTACTATTACGTTATCCTACACAATTTGTATTATTTTGGATGAATAAATAAATAAATAAATAATAATCTATACATCTATACATATAAATAAAATAGGAGTGTCTGTTTGTAATATTGAAATAACCGTTTTTTACTACATGCATATGAATATATATAAGGTACATATACCAAAATAACAATTTTTATAATTTTAGTCTGTCTGTCTGTCGGTCTGTTTGTTCCGGCTAATCTCTGAAATGGCTGGACCGATTTTGACGGTACTTCTTTTTGGCAGGTAGCTGATTTATAAGGAGTAACTTAGGTTACTTTTATTTTAGAAAAATAAAGTTTAATTCCACGCGGACGAAGTCACGGGAACAGCTTGTTTTTAATAAAAACATCTTTTTTGTGGTACTTGAGAATGTTGAAGCCTGTTGTTTGTAATATTGAAATAACCGTTTTTTACTACTTGCATATGAATATAAATACGGTACATAATACACCAAAATAACATATTTTACAATTTTTGTCCGTCTGTCTGTTTGTTCCGGCTAATCTCTGAAATGGCTGGACCGATTTTGACGGGACTTTTTTTGGCAGGTAGCTGATGTAATAACTTAGGCTACTTTTATTTTAGAAAAATAAAGTTAAAAACCACGTGGACGAAGTCGCGGGAACAGCTACTGTATAATATATTAGAGATACCTACGTGTTTTTTTTATTGATGACTAGCTGTACACGGGATTTCGTCCGTGTGGAATTTAACTTTATTTTTCTAAAATATAGAAGTTAAATTCCACGCGGTACATAGTTGTCGGTAGTCTAGCGATTTAGCTAGCACACTGCTTTGATTCTTGCTTGGTGGTCGAGGGTTCGATTCCTCGCACGCTGCAAACATTTGTATTCGTGAGTAGGATTGTTTGTAACGGTCTGGGTGTTTTCTATGTATAGATAATATATATGTATTTACGAAAAAAATCTTTGTATTTATATCAGTTGTCTAGTACCCATAACATAATCTTCAGCTAGCTTAACTTGGGTCTAGATGAAGCTGTGTGAATTGTCCTGAGATTACTATTATTATTAATTGGTACACAGGTAAACTACTAACTAGGCCATATTGGTGTTGTTTGTTATGGTGAAAAAACTAGTATATATATAAGTTACACGTACAATTTCAAAGACTTATTTCTTCAAAACTACTGGCTATTCTGAAATAAAACTTTAGGGTTTGTATATGTAATGTTTGCATATAAAATATGATTAAAGGTTACCAGTGTATTTACACTTTTACTGAACAAACAGAGTTGTTTAATAGTGAAAATATTGTGTGGAAGACATCAATTACTTTCAGTACATGTATAGCTTTTCTCTTTTCCTAATTATTATTATTATTAAGTTTAAAGTGGTTGAATTTTACGTAAGGGGTATTTATACATTATTTCTAATTTACCATTTATTTTAAGTTTTTTAAACTCTATTCATCGAGACCTATCTAATGAGTCCAAACACGATATTTCTGCTGTATGTAAGTTTTCGAAGAGTATGTTCATCATCTGATAATACTGGTGCCAGCATGAAGTCAAGGTTAACAGATAACTAATTACTTTTATTTCGTCAAAATCTTTAGATTACGTATAATAAATTCATAATATCGCTACCTATTCAAATCAAAACAAGTATTAGGTACTTCATGTACTAGTATATAAATTCATCAACACACAAGTAAATGATTTTTAAATATATTCAGAGCCAAAAAATCTTTGTGCATTTAAAAAAATTGCCGATACGGATTCACTATTGCAGGAAATTGTTGAAAAAATATATATCGCGTACAGGTATCTACTACTATCGACGAATACATTTGGCAACAACGCGCAACATATGCGATGTTGCCGTTCCGGCCGAGACCATGCCGGAACGGCAACATCGCATATTAGAATACAAAGATAGTGATAGAAAGAGAGAGACAGTGGAATCAGCAATATCTACGGATCGTGGCTGGATCAACTAAGTGTGCAAGTTTATATAAATGTATATATATATATACACATTTGTCTTTAATTCAAAGGAAATATAAATAATGAACGCATCACATTTAAAACAGTATAAATAGTTAATAATTTAATAATAAGTTAATAGTTTAATAAGTACGTACGTAATATTATCACATGGTAACAGCACGTATTATGGCAAAAATAAACATCGGCTGATTTGAAAAGATTTATTATAGTAATAATAGTAATCTCAGGACAATTCACACAGCTTCATCTAGACCCAAGTTAAGCTAGCTGAAGATTATGTTATGGGTACTAGACAACTGATATAAATACAAAGATTTTTTTCGTAAATACATATATATTATCTATACATAGAAAACACCCAGACCGTTACAAACAATCCTACTCACGAATACAAATGTTTGCAGCGTGCGAGGAATCGAACCCTCGACCACCAAGCAGGAATCAAAGCAGTGTGCTAGCTAAATCGCTAGACTACCGACAACTAGCTGTACCGCGTGGAATTTAACTTCTTATATTTTAGAAAAATAAAGTTAAATTCCACACGGACGAAATCCCGTGTATAGCTAGTCATCAATAAAAAAACACGTAGGTATCTCTAATATATTATACAGTAGCTGTTCCCGCGACTTCGTCCACGTGGTTTTTAACTTTATTTTTCTAAAATAAAAGTAGCCTAGGTTACTAGGTAGTAGCCTTATTACATCAGCTACCTGCCAAAAAAAAGTCCCGTCAAAATCGGTCCAGCCATTTCAGAGATTAGCCGGAACAAACAGACAGACAGACAGATAGACTAAAATTATAAAAATAGTTATTTTGGTATATGTACCTTATATATATTCATATGCATGTAGTAAAAAACGGTTATTTCAATATTACAAACAGACACTCCAATTTTATTTGTATGTATAGATGTATAGATTATTATTTATTTATTTATTTATTCATCCAAAATAATACAAATTGTGTAGGATAACGTAATAGTAACATTACAGTAAAATTTTGTCAACAACATAATAGCAACTTAAATATTAAATCTCGGTATATCTATAGACTAGCTGGCCCCAGCGACTTCGTCCGCGTGAAATTTTATTTTATTTTTCTAAAATAACAGTAGCGTAAGTTACTCCTTATTACATCAGCTACTTGCCAAAAAAGTCCCGTCAAAATCGGTCCAGCTATTTCAGAGATTAGCCGGAACAAACAGACAGACAGACAGACAAAACTTGTAAAATATGTTATTTTGGTGTATGTACCGGATTTATATTCATATGCAAGTAGTAAAAACGGTTATTTCAATATTACAAACAGACACTCCAATTTTATTTACATGTATAGATGTATAGATTAAAAAAAAAGTAACAGTCATAAGGCTAGTCGTATGCCTAATATATATAATAATGTAATAAATTCATTTAAACAGAAATTGCGGCAACATTATTTAAATTTGTAACTTTTTTACTGTCCTTCTCCATTTTTCACATCTTTCTGTTATATCCCTATAGTTCTCTCTATATTTTCTGTTTTTCTTACTTTCAATTTGAGACTGTACTTATAATTTGATTATCAGATCATTATGTATTTATTAGATATTAACTATTATATTATGCATAAAAAATATTTGTAATAATAAAGAAAATACATTTAAAATGTTTTACTTGTTGTGTTAGTTATTTATAAGATCTTACTATAATTGTTAGCTGCTTTACAATTTAGAAAGTACAATAGGTAATGTAAATTAAAATTAATTGAATACTTAACAACGTTTTGTTCGATTAAATTCATTTAATTATTAAAATAGTTAATTTAAAATTAGAATAAAGACAAAAAAAAAAATAAAAAAAAATCGGTGGCGGGAATCGAACCTTGAGCGTCCGTTTGGTAAGTTGATTTGAAATTCAAAGGCTTATTTCTTCGAAATTACTGGTCATTTTGAAATAATACTTAGGGTTCGCATACCCTTATCGGATACTACTACTACACGGAGTTTCGTCAAAATAAAATATCTAGGTTAGGTATAATAAATTCATAATTAATAGACCGTTACGGTATCTGTATATATTCGGATCAAAACAAGTACTATGAAATAAGAACGAGTATATAAATTGATTAACACAAGTAATTGATTTTTGAAATATATTCAGAGCCAAAAAGTCTTGTTTCTTTATTTATGTACTTGTTAGATGCGACAGCGACTTTGTTTTATACTATACTATGTAATGATTGATATACCTAAAATAAATAAAATATCTGAGGTTTGGACAAAAACTCAAAGGGTAATTTATTTTGAAAAAGTATTTTGAAAATACCTATTTTGCTTTTAGTGTTATAGTACTTTAACTGTTATGTTTTAAGTAACAATGTTTAATTATAATTAATACTACTGCACCAACACACCGATCGTGCAAAAAAATTTGCTGTTTCATTATTTTTTAGTTGAATTAGTGGTCTACCTAAGTCCTGGGCTAAGGGGGGGAGGAGAGTCATGACGCCCCCATGACTCCCATGACCTCCATGACGCTCCCCCCTGGATCCGCCGTTGCGTCTTCTCTTTATTCGCTCAGTAACTTTGTTACAAAAGAAAAGATTCCCGTCCAAAAAATAATAAGTATTGAGGTTTGATCTGGAGTCACGTTACTCCAGACTGATTTCTATAAATATTTAGATTGGATAGACTATTATTCTTGAAATACTAGCTAGACATTATTAAGTTACTGTAGCCATAATGTAGTAGCCCAAACGTGCCAATGAGGAAGCCCTTGGCAAATGCTGCACCCTGATTGGCCCGTTTGAATTGGATCAAGAACTGCTCGTATGCCAAAAAGGTGGATTTGTATAAAATCGTGTATAAATCGCTTAATTATTATTATTACTCGTCGTGACAGTTGTGGCTCAAAACGGATCAACATTTATATATGGTCAGCTGGCATTAGATCAACAAAAGGCCTCCGGATCAACAAGTGAAAAAGGATCAACAAAAAACTACCTATACGGCACGTCTAGCCACAAAGTGCCCAAGGGGATATTTATATATATATATATATATATATATATATATATATATATATATATATATATATATATATATATATATATATATTAAATCTTAACGCACATTGTCGTCTTGATCTCCTACCAGGAAGGCAGAGAGAAGCAAATATCTTAGACAACTGCAATTAATTACCCGTTTAAATTTAATTCATTTTCAATAATCAAATCAAATCAAAAATGATTTAGTCATGTAGGAAAAGTTACTCGCTTATGAAGAAGTTCTTTGCATTATATTTTTTCATCATCATGATAATATTCATAAATGATTACTTCTATTCAGTGTCAAATATCACATTGTAAGAAATAAACAGAATTGATTTTTTTCTAACTTGATAAGTATATAGAAAATATTAGTTACATAATTTGTAATTTTACAAGAATCTTTTGTAATTTCAATATATATTTTGGAATAATATTAGCAAAAATAAGAACCCTAGACAACTAACGCAGCACCATGTGATACCAATCTAAGCACAGATTTCGGTAACGAGATAGTCGAAGGTAGTTGTGAATAAACATCAGATCTGAACTAATGATGTTTAATTATGCACAATAATTAAACACCATTAGTTCAGATCTGATATTTTCTAGACATTACAAAATGCTTATATTTCTAGGTTTTGGGAAGCTGTTGACCCTTTGGTACAAGAAGAATACATTTCGTCAAGTAGTTAAAGAACTAGCTGACATTTGGCCTGTTGCTGAGACAAATGCTAAAGCGGTTGCTATAAAAAATAGTAGTCTTAAATCTTTGCGATCTATAGAAATATGTGAGTTTTCCTATATTTTTAACTAATAATACTATAACAATAATTATAGTTTTTATAAATAAAAATGTTTGTCCTCTATGAATGAAAAATATATTGATGAAATTTTAGTGGTTTATACATGTTAATGGTAGTGCAATTAAACAAAATAATGTAAATCCACAATAGACAGAACATTTGAAAGAAAGAGGCAAAACATCTTCATCTTTTCTGCCCAGTATAGTAAAACAATAATTTTATTGCAGTATACGTCTTTTTGAACGTCATAGGTGTGAGCTTTTATACTCTGACTCCAGTAGCCCTGCATATCTATCGATTAACCAGAGGGATTCCCACAGATTTAGGATACGTATGGCAGTTGTACTATCCATTTGATCAAACCAAGCCTGTCGTACATGAATTAGTTTATATGTATGAAATATTTGCAGGTATGTTCTTTTTTTGTACATTTAGTATGTTTTGAATACTCTATTTATCTTGCAATTTATCACTATTAACAATTACGATGAGGTCGAATTATATTGAAAAATAACTACGAATGAATATTATATAATAACAACAAGTAGTTTTCGATTTGTTTGTGATTTGTGATTTTAATTGTGTAAATGGAACTTTTTTGAAGGAATGGCGTGCGTGAGTTGCATGCTGGGCTGTGATGTATTTTTTATAACAATGGCAAGTCACATCAGCATGCTACTACGTATACTACAAGTCAAGATTACAAGTATCGGCACACCAGATGGGGACAAACTTGTTAGAGAATCACTTGATTGCTATGACGAGATTGTTGCAGTGGTAAAAATTCATCAGAGGTTGATCAGGTAAATACTATTGTAGCGATCCACAGTTAAAGTTATTTGGTTTTTATTAATCATATTTCACTATCATTTTTAATTATAACTGGTAGTATCAACATTATTCATGTAGTCACATTATTATGCTACTATATTATATATAGATATAAGGGAGTGCGAACACCACACCCAGTGCTCCAAGTCAATTTCACCTACTTGCGGTACATACTGCTAAACAAGAGACGAGGTTTAGCGACTGATAAATCGCGGTTCTATCCACACAGTTTCAAATCTTACAGACTGATAATGGGCAGAGAAACTGTGTACTGCGATCGCCAACCCGCATGCCCAGCGTGGCGATTATGGGCACATTCCACCCATGACAGGTTCTACACAACTATATTATAATCGATAATAAGCGCTGAACATCCTATATATTCAGTGCCACACGCTGCTGTTGTATCACACATACAGTCTTCATGAGTAACCTAATAGAAAGTTCTGGAAATACGCTTAAAGTAATGTTCTTCTTATATATTTCAGGTACGGCAATGATTTGGAGGATGCCTTTGCAGTGGTGAACTTGATAAATGTTCTTTTAAGCTCTGTCGATATTTGCTGTGTTATGTTTACTATAGTTGTGAGTATGATGAGATTTATAGATTAAACAACTTAGTTAACAATGAAATTACTTACTTTATGTCTAAATTTGCATTTCTCAAGCTGACCCTTTGTCAGGATTAACAATACGTAATATAAAACATCTGCAATCTGATTAATACTTTTTTCTACTATTGTTTTTTTTCTCTATTAACACATTGTTATATTGTATGTATTAGTTTCTAGATCCGGTGATGGAAGTGAGTAGTAAGTTCTTTCTTGGCGCCGCATTGACTCAAATGGGAATAGTATGCTGGTATGCTGACGACATCTTTACCACGGTTAGTTTTACCAATTGCTTATGCCATGATTTACCGATGCGTTAATATTGGCTGTAAGTATACAATCTGTGACAACAGTCATGAGATATATTTGAATGCAACCTGGATATAGAGGAAATTACCACCATCATATTTCAATAACTTTTTGATTAGTTATCAGTGTTTCCGTCATCGGAAAGTGTAGGAAATATAAATTGGCACAACGTTTTCGGTTTTGGTCATATTTGAACTTTCGGAATAACCTTTCTGATCTTAGCCTAGTAAATCTCTAACTATGACGCTCTTACGAATGTTAAAATAAAAAGAAAAAGAAATACTAATAATAAAAATAACTATTACTATTTACTTTACGCAGAGTTTAGGCGTGTCGGACGCGGTGTACGAGAGTGGGTGGTACAATTGCGACATTCGGAGTCGACGAGCACTCCTCCTAATGCTGGAGAGGTATTGCTCTTTTCTTGTACAATTTGGTTTGAACTAATATAAAAATAATAATGCTTTATTTGTACAACCACAAGATTACAACATTAAGAAGAAACATAATAGTTGAAGTTAGTTAGTTAGCTAGGTAATTAAATGGCAGAAAGTTGCGCAGCACAAAATGAGGACCCTGATAATTTAAACTGGATATTACAACTGTGCTATAGGTATCAGTGCTCTCTTGTAACATGGTGTTGTTAGTAGTATTCGTTAATTCTCTTCAGATCAGGATACGTAGTGATTTGGCACGGATACCATCAGATCACTTTAATGATAGTTAAGAGATCTCAAAATCTTAAATTCGCTTAATTTGTTATAACAAATATATCATTGTTGCTTGAAATTGCTGAAAGTTACCCGGTTATATCTGTTAACGATCTTTCGTAAGAGGGTTAATTTGAATGGTCATTGGAAAATTATTGGTTCTACATCAATATTATATATAGGTACATTACATACATCAATCAGTTTTTGTTATACATAACATTGAATTGAAAACTGTAAAAGGTAAATAGAATTAATGAATCGATTATATTTACATTTAGTGCCTGATGAATCTTCGTGGTGATTCTACGTGGTGATTATTTGAAATTTGTTTCAGATCACAGCGACCGCTTTATTTCACTGCATTGAAATTTAGCCCCATTACATTGAATACTTATAGATCGGTAAGTTATAAGTATATATATGTGCTCATTTCATTGGGCGGTAAATATTTTTGTTTATAATGAAATTATGAGTTAGTTATGACTTAGTTTGGTTAGTACAGATTGATATGATTTATTTCCTGACTGTCAAAAAGTCGCGAACAATAATAAAATTGTTTCGAGTATTGAATATTTTAAATTATCTCTAAAATTATACATTTATTGTTTTGATTGCATAGTGTACTTGTATCAAATTTTTATCTTATATTGTTATAATAAATAGAAGAAACCATCTAATAGAAATGTCAGTCAATTGATTATACGACACGGTCGCGGTTCCATATTTTTGTCGTATTATCTCTTTAACCATTCGTCAAAATTATATGCAGTAAAAGAGAAGTCTAAAGAGAGAGAAAAGATATAAGAGCAGTCTATCTTGTTTTAAACTTTTGAAATTATAAGTTTACTATTATAAATATTAATATTGTTTGATTAGTGGTTATCTTACAACTAATGTCTCGCCAAGTATTTTTTAAATATAAAAATTAATATTGATGGCGATTTAAATATAAAAGATTCAATATATATAAATATATAAAACATGTTATTGTTGAATTCTTTGTAGTCATTGTCAAGTTCTAGAACTTTTATCTAGAACTCGTTACAAACAACCGTTTTTTCTTCGACTTACTTTATAAATTCGACTACAACGAAAAAGTCATTTCACATTTTGAATTATAGGTTATTTCTGAGTGTCTTAGACTATATATAGTCTAAGACACTCAGAAATAATGTGGCTTTCTATTGGTAAAAGAATTTTTAATATTAGTTCATTAGATCTAGAGATCTCCCTATAACGTCAAAAACTTCAAACATTACTTATTACAAAACAGAATAGCTGATAATATCAACTTATTGAAGTTGTCATGTAAATTAATTTTGATGACTTTTTAGACACTCCGTACTTCTGTATAATCTCGATGATATTGGATTATTCTTTTATTTAAAAACTAGGACAATTTTCTATATCTAAGTACTTAATTATTTTATATATTGTTTTTGTAAATAACGTAATTTTTTGTAAAAATGTAGTTTTTGTAATAAACGTAAATTCTACCAGGTTAATAACCTGGTAGAATTTACGTTTATAATTTTTACTAGCAGTACCCGCGACTTATCCGCGTAACCGGAACTTAACTTTATTTTTCTAAAATAAAAGTAGCCTAAGTTACTCCTTATTACATCAGCTATCTGCCAATAAAAGTCCCGTCAAAATCGGTCCAGCCATTTTAGAGATTAGCCGGAACAAACAGGCAGACAGACAAAATTTGTAAAAAATATTATTATCATTACTATTTTGCAATATGTGCAATATGTATCTATGCATGTAGTAAAAAACGGTTATTTCAATATTACAAACAGACACTCCAATTTTATTTATATGTATAGATTTATAGATTAGATATCTGATAAAGAATCCTGTGTACTAAAATTCACTTACGTCAATGTATTTTATTTTCAGATTCTTACGACGTCGTATTCCTATTTTACACTGCTATACACAGCATATCGACAAAATTAATTTACAGATTAAATCTGTGTACCATTATTATGAGATTTCAAGATTTTTGTAAGACGGTCAACGAGTCAGAATTCAATGTCTTAACCGTTTAGTTCTATTATTTACTGTACTGAAGCCTGTACTTTGTTTTTCTTGTTGCTAATATTATATATTTTATTATTATTCTATTACCTATACAACTAGAAGTTTCAACTAAAGTAGTTTAGAGTCACGTATCTACGTTTATAAATTTTATTAGTTACTTATGTGTTTAGATGTAATAAAATAGTTAAAAAAATATAAATGTTTTATATATTTCTCCTTTTAAATATATATATATGTGTATATAAAGTTTCATAGCAATAGCATCTATGCAATAATACGTCTTATCTATGAAACATTCAATATAAGTAATATGGAACCTTTTATAAAATCTGTGGCATAGTAGCATAAGTAACGAGTATTCCTATATAATCCATTTAATTTTCAAGCGCAGTAGGCACTTATTTGCAAATAGTAATTTACTTTCGTATAACCGTCATTATGCGAATTCTAACTGAGCTCCTTCATAAAATATTTAAACAGAGAAAAAAGTCTAAGTCAGCCCACTATAAATAGTCAATCATTGCTTTAAAAGGTTTCAGTTATAACCTGACATTTACTTCATTCCTTAGAATTGTAGCATTTATATATTGACTCAATATTTTCCAGTATATATTGAATATTTTTATCAGCAGAAAAATGTCTGAGACAAGAACACTTGCAGAAAAGGAGATTCACAATACTTTATTATATTGTAATTTCTTTATCCGAAGAGTAGGACTATCGTTTATTGATGATGTACCAACCACTAATCTACGTAAAATTATTGTACTTTCACATTTTGTAATTGCAACATCTCTTGCAATACTTATATTGATTGGAGAACAAGGCTATGTAGTTTATTTACTGTCCAAAACGGTATCTGTGGAACAGCTTCTTGATGGTAATTTACACGTTTTAGGGTACGGTATAATGAGTGAGTATCTTAATTGTTATGTAAAGCAATATTATAAAAGGAAGGTGGAAGAATTTCACTTTGTGATTGCAATTGATAAATTTAAAAAGTCTTAAATAGTACCAAAATTATGTTGCTTCGAAATTTAAATTAACAAGTAACATGCCTTTGTTTGTATAAATAGTATAATGAAGATACAGTACAAACTGCAGAAAAAGAAATTCACAACATGCGAACATTTTGTATTATTTTCAATTCATATGTAGGACTACTATAGATACTATACTGTTTATGTCACCCACGTATTTAGATACGTGTAAAAAATATTTGTATTAGAATATTCTGTGATAGCATTACCTTTTATAATTCTTGTATTGATTGGTGTACATGCTTATATATAATTTATATATTTCATGATTTGGTTTGTTTGGAGCAAAGTAGTGGTAGCAATTAAACAATATCGGTATCTAATATTTTAATCCTTTTTGTATTACAATATTAATCACTGTTATTTAAATTATACGCTCAGGTCTCTTACAGGGTATCCAGAGAGAAGCGATATATTTAATAGATATATTTATCCTTATATAAAATTCTTGGTTCATCCAGTTGCGTTATAACTGCTTCTCCTCTGTTTTAAGTTCGAATTCGTGCTGATGCGATACAGTCTTGGCTTTTCTTTTAACTTCTCTCAGTATTATGATAAGAGTTTTAAAACTTATCATACTTCAAATGCAAGTTTAATCAATAATAACAATTTTAATAATATTTATGTATGATCATTTCAATTACCGAATAGAAATTATATATCCCAATACGAGGTATTAAAAAACTGTAATCAATTTTATATAAAATAATGAGTATAGAACTAAGATGAAATACTTAGTTCGTAATTTTTTCAAACAAAACCTACTTCTCTATTTTCAATTCATGTAGAATATTAATAGTAAATATATATATATATATAATTAAGATATATGTAATTCAATCGGAGACATCCAAAGTCCTCGACCTATTAGAACTCCGTGATAGATTTGCAGAAGGCTAGACTATCTTGGACAATGGGAAATTACTGAGTGTTAATTTAAATAAAGAAATCATCTCGGTCACATAGCAATAAATGCTTATTTTGTTCCTAGGTTTTGGGAAGCTGTTAACCCTTTGGTACAAGAAAAACACATTTCGTCAAGTAGTCAAAGAATTAGCTGATATTTGGCCTGTTGCTGAGAAAAATCCTAAAGCAGTTGCTATAAAAAACAGTAGTCTTAAATCTTTGCGATCTGTAGAAACGTGTAAGCTATTCCTATCCCTTATCTAGTAGTATATACATATATATGTAGACATGTAGAACAAGACGACCAATTATGACCATAGAAGTCGCTAAGTTCTAGTCTAATTATAGTTATGTTTACCAAAAATATCAAATAAGAAGTCCTTACTGATAAAAAATAATGTTTTGTTTGTCCTATATGCATTTTCAAACACTTCATAAATTTTTAACCTCTTGAAATTCTTTTTTATATGTAGATATGCATGTATATATGAGTAATTGGAAAAGACTTTCTATTCGTTTATTTTTTTGTACTCATTGTATCATATTTATGCACATTTACAATTCACATGTAGGGACAAAGTCACCATAGGTACAATTCTCACGATAAGCAGCCAATGTGCTTTAAAAATATGATACAATTGTTAAATTACCTGAATACATACATAAAAACCCCGTTATTCATAAGAATGTTAAATGTCTAATAAACTTATTTTATCTTGTAAACAATTATGATGTATTTTTGTTATTATTATTTTCTTAGTTTGAATGAAAAACGATATATTTTAATAATTCCATGAGTTTGTAGACGGTTTTTGTAGGTGGTTTTAATGGTTGTAATGGGTATACGGTTGGTTCTCAGGAACGTAGCATACTCCGTACGTCATAGTACCAACCTTATTATCCTTCGTATACTCTACAGTAAAATACTACTTTAATTGCAGTATACGTCTATTTGACTATCATAGGAGCGTGTTTTTATAATCTGACTCCAGTGGTCCTGCATATATATAGGTTAATCAGAGGGATTCCCACAGATTTAGGCTATGTATGGCAGTTGTACTATCCATTTGATAAATCGAAGCCTGTTGTACACGAATTTGTATATATTTACGAAGTATCCGCGGGTAAGTACTGTTTTTAAAAAAAACTTACTAATTTTTAATATACGATTTTATTTTGTGTGTAATTATTTTCACCAGATTTTTCGATAATAACAGTACCAATGAAATCGCAAATGGGTTTCGGGACTGTATACGCCCTCCATTAAAGATTTTATTTGTTATCAGAGATTTACTTACATTAGTGGTTGTACGTTTTCGAAATTCGAGAACAATTAATTTTAAATGAAAGATATGCAAGACGAACCTTTACGACCAATGTGTTTTGACAGATGACTTACGGCACAGGAACGTGGTCGCTATGGGTCTCATATAAGCTCAGAGTCACTCAGAGGGCAATGGAAAAGGCTGTGCTCGGAATTTTTCTGCGTTGGATGCGAGTAGCGCAGGACAGATCGTTGACCGATATTTTCGGGGAAGGTCTTTGTTCAGCAGTGGACGTCTTCCTGCCGGAAATGATGATGATGACATTGGAAGTTGTTATATAATGTTTATATTGAAACATAATAGGTTACGGAAGCAGTTTTTTAATTTAGACTTGTATAATTGAACTAGTGAAATAATTTCAGGAATGGCATGCGTGTTTTGCATGGTGGGTTGTGATGTATTTTTTATAACTATGGCAAGTCATATCGGCATGCTATTACGTATACTACAAGTCAAGATTAGAAGTATTGGCACATCAGATGGGGACACTGTTGTTAGAGGATCACTTGATTGTTATGACGAGATTGTTGCAGTAGTAAAGATTCATCAGAGATTAATCAAGTAAATATTCTTAAAGTTATCTTCACAAGGAAAGTTATTTTGGTATTATTAATGAGCCCATTAGTAGACTGTAGTGGGCTGATGATGATGATTATAATTATTATTTGTAACTAGCGGTATCTCCATTGTTTTTGTAGCCACAGTATTATGTGCGGCTAATTTAGATTGTATTAAGCGGGTACTGATCCTACTTGTACTGTAAGTATGCGATTTAAGTATAACATTTTTGTATAATTTTCAGGTACGGCAATGATTTGGAGGATGCCTTTGCTGTGGTGAACTTGATAAACGTTCTTTTGAGCTCTGTTGATATTTGCTGTGTTATGTTTATTATAGTAGTAAGTACTTTGCTAGAATTTAATTTATACTTGCAAAATTACTTAAATTTATCATAAGTGACTATGTTACTCAAATTTATTAATAGAAAACATTTATGTTTCAGTTTCTAGATCCCATATTGGAAGTGAGTAGTAAGTTTTTTCTCTGTGCTGCACTGACTCAAATGGGAGTTGTATGCTGGTATGCTGATGATATATTTAGAACGGTTGGTATCACTTATAAGTTTACTTCAAAGTAAAAGAAATATTCTATCCCAATGGAATATTAACATACAATATTATTTGTTGACGTCGTGGTAAATGCAAAACATGTCCATATTTCGCTAGATAGGTATATATTTGACTCCAGCATGGCAAGGGATTGGATTTACGGTTTCTGTCACATATATTTTTAGGTTTTTTATTGGTCTTTCCGTTATCGGAGATAGCGTCAAAGATATAAATCTACCGTTATCGACCACATTTTAACTCATAATCTTCGGCATCTAAGCAGAGGTAGGAACTAGACTATGATGCTATAATGAATTTAAAAATATAATAATCTCTTTATTTATATATATACATATAAAGAACAAATTAAAAAAATACAAGTGTTACTATTTTTTATGCAGAGCTTAGGCGTATCGGATGCGGTGTACGAGAGTGGATGGTACAATTGTGATATTCGGAGTCGACGTGCACTACTCCTCATGCTGCAGAGGTATATCCTACTTTCTTATATTGTTTAGGCTTATGAAGGGATATTTAATACACGGTATAACTTGCGGTAGGGGCTTTTACAGACGACGAATAAAAGTAAATTGCAAACATAAATAGTAAAACAGTAGTATGAAATAATGAACAATGAAGAGCACAACAATTAATCAGTTTGTTTGAAGAAGAAGCCATTTTTTTTATTTTCCCGCGCAAACGTAATGCCACAGATGCACAATATTGCAGGGCCCAGTGCCGTAGTACGAAGACTAGCGCATCATAGCTGTATAGCGATGTTAATGCCGTTATCAGTATTAACATATAACTATTTGATTATTTGTTTCAGATCACAGAGACCACTTTATTTCACTGCGTTAAAATTTAGTCCCATTACTCTGAATACTTACACATCGGTGAGATTTAAGTATATTTTTGGTTATTACAGACTATTTCATCTCTACAGTTTGTAGAGTATAAATGGAATAAGACTACTAATCGGTTTGATAATGAGTACTAATCTTAATAATTACTATGTGTAGGTTGAGACAAGATTTTCTTGATTGATTGATTGATCATTAATTTAAATATAGATTCTAATAGTTTTTTTATGTAACTGGTATGGCAAACAAGCTGATGACTAATCCTATGGTAAGTGGTTACCACTTACCATAGGATTAGTCATCAGCTTGTCGTCTGTGTATATGATATCAAATTATAATGTAGTGTAGCCCATCGTATGTAAATACAAAGTCTATCTCTAGTAACCACTTACACTCTGTATATATTGTTCATAGTACCTATTTAGCAATAGATCTGTATAGTTTTCTATAGGTTAAATTTGTTGTGGTATATAGGCATATACATAAGAGTGATGGAATATATATATTCAAACATATATAATCTTTTAAAAAGATATTTAATCAGACCTATAATTATTTAAAAAAATCACATCTTATTGGAATGTTTTTATTCCGTTCAATCGAAGTTTTTCAAATTCTAAATGGCAATATAATTACTTTTGCTGTGTGGATACCCATGTTTCGTATGATTACTACATATTCATATGGGTATCTACTATGAAAAACATGTAAAACAATGTTGATGACTTTTTTATGTGTATATGAGTAGTTGTCAAAAATGTAATATTATTGTATGTTTCTAATTTAATTAATAGAGAATTGCGTGTTCTATACTCACTTACGTAAATGTATTTTGTTTTCAGATTCTCACGACGTCCTATTCGTATTTTACACTACTTTATACAGCATATAGTCAAAATTGATTATTAGATTTATTGTAATCTGCACACGACTATGATAAGATAGATGTAAATAAATAAGTAAATTTTCTCAGGTTTTTCTCAGGCGGTCTCCGAGTTTACTTCTGGTCATAAAACTGTTTGATATTTTAGATGTACATATATTCTTTACACATATCGCACCACCATGCTGCTATTTATATTCTTTACATTCTTTACACTATTAAAAATTTGTAGGTACTATAGATATATGGCTAATTTTAGAAGTTTGGCTTCAATAAAATCGTTTAAAAAACATAAATAATTTTATTTGGTATTTGGTTCTTCGTGTAATAGTTTAATCATATAGGAATGTCAGTAGTCTATCGACAGCCAGAATTATAAAAGTCGACTAGGAAAGCTAAGTGTAACATACGTAAATATAAATAAAAGAAAAAAATAACATAGGAAAGAAGTTGAATTCGATATAGAAATCTATACCAAGCCGCTTGTCCAGCGTATTATTAACACTTAGAATTAAACAAAATATTGTTCCGTCGAGTCCAGAAGTGAAATGCAGAAAGTTCTGAATTGTGTCTCAGCAGACCATTTGTTCAACGAAGTGTTAAATTAATAAAAAACGGTTGTTTCTGTTGTTTCCTTAAAATTATTGTGTTAATAAAAATATGTTCGTATTTAATTTCTATTTAGAAATAAACAAATTAAGTCAGTTAAATGAAAGAAAGAGGAAATTATAAAATTTTCTTTCCCAATTTGTCTGTACCTTGCCTACTTTTATACAAGTTTATTTGCAATAATATTTGTATAAATCTATAATGAATGAAATAACCATTTAGGGATGGATATACATTATTTCTGCTTCATTAAATTTAAGATCTCTTTAACGAAATATTTCATCATAACATTTGGGAGAACCGCCAGTGAAAAAAGTTGTTGCTAGTACATATATATATATTTATTGATAATACAAAAACGGATAATACTAAGCAGTTAAGCACAGCACAAAGTCATAAATAAACATATGTGACATGCAAACTGTAGAATTAATTTCATATTCGAGTGAATAACAAACAAAATTTCCATTACTTCAAGCCACGAGCATTAAAAAGTTATAAAGCTGTGATGTTAGCAGAACCAATCAATGTGAGTTTGCTTACTGTATGGATTTTTATAAATGCTAGTACAATATTAGTTATTTTGTGGTTACGACTCTGTTATGTTTCATGTCGTTTTAGTAGTAATTTTGGGATTAAATAGTAAGTTATGGTGTATTAACTGGTAACTTAGATAATGATATATTATTATTTATTATAGAAAATTCAAAGAATACATTATTCATATTATAAATAGATGAGTTTATAAATAATAACATAATGTGTAGCATATGTTACTCTGGAATCATGTTTCGATTTTTCAAATCGGTGGAGTGTTTACTTTCCTTACAATAATATCCGCTCTCTAGACACTCTCTCCATAATATCGGAGTAGATTGGATACTTCTTTATCTTCCAGCTTTAATTATTGGGGAAAATTGTCATAAAATACAATGTTCGAACGTGTTTGACTATGTGTGCGGAGCAGCAGCAGTGACGAGTGGTGCCCGAATTATAGGAACGTTTCAAAACATATGCCATTTGAACAGAATGAAATGTCGATTACAACATATTTTAGGTATTCTTTTATTTCAAAAATATATACATAAATAATATATTAAATTCTTTCTTGTCTTTTTTTTCAAGATTTATATTATATAATATTTTTCTTGTTTCATACTACAGACATTTATCAAGTTCATGACAGACTTTGTAATTTAAGAAAAACTAATTTCACAAGAAATCGTAGAGTGAATGACTTCAGTATAGTCGGCGCTCACCAAGCCTGCAATCATACTTGTCCAACCTACTGCGTGGACACGTACGAGCCTGCGTGTGCGCAAATTTGGAAGCCTAACATGAAGTCGTATAACTATCGGCCTATGATTAATCATTGTCATATTGATTTGTTCTCCTGCGCTGTAGGAGTTAGTAAGTATTTTATTGTACTTGTATTTATCTGTGTATTTTATAACCTCTCAAGATTGACTGTATTTTTTTTATTGGGCGGTTTGGGCTATTGTCTGGTGTAGCACTACGGCCTACGTAGATCTATTGCGTTAGTCTGGTTTAGGAGTTAGCTGCCTAGACCAATTAGGACACAAGACCGGTTTATGAGTTAACTGCCTAGACCAATTAGAAAATTGAAAGACATTCTTAGGAGCGAAGGTTAGTAGGTTTAGTCTAGTCAGGATACAGTGTAAACTTTCCAAAGGAAATGTTTATGTATGAGTTGACTACAACCACACGATTTACTGTAATTGTTGTATTAAAAACAACACTACTAATTCTATAAACATAATAATATTTTGGGGCTGTACATCACGGTAAATTTAGTTTCTGTAATGTTTACAATAATAATATCGCTAAAAACCTTTAAACATTGCCTATTTTGCACGACTCTTTCCCTTTTAGCTTGCTTTTTTATTGTATTTTTAGATGTCACTATACAGCCACTGGGGAAATGTTACAAGAATCCATCCGGGCTGCTTTTCATGTCTCAAATCGCTGCGCTGAAGTCTCTGAGGTTGATAGACGATACAACTCTAAATTATAATATTGCCAAGTATCCTTCTTCAATTGGCAGTAGACATGAAGGTTAAAAATGACGAAGGATTTTAATATTTAATACTTCTCAATATATAATATTAAATAATAATATTCTATTGTATCTACTAATAACGATTTTGTTGACCTACCTACTATAAAATTGATCATGATTATATTGGAGTTAGAAAACCAAAGCATTATCACAGGGATCATTCATTTAATAAATGTAATATTCTTATTTTTTTTAGAATTTTCTTATATATTAGGATTTTGGTACACAGTAAAATATTATATTTTACTAGAAAATAATTATTATAATAAGGTATGATTTAAAAAATAATACAGACGCAATTATTTTTTATTTTGTCTCCGTAATAGATGTACTCAAATTAAAATTTGTGAAATCTTCTTCATTTCACAAATATATAGTCCAAATAATATAAATTGGAGGCTTGAAACTTTGAATATACGAATACATTGCTCTCATATCGGAACCCGTGGAACTGCAATGATTAAGAACCCAATCGACAGAAATAAATCAAGATTTATTCATAATAAATCTTGATTTATTTCGGGCCGTAGAGGTATCGCTGCGTATATTATTTGTATGTAGGTACTCGTTGTTTTTTTAGTATAGTCATTATTGTGTGGTGATGTGGAGGAGATGGAGTACGGTATAGTAATAATGAGTAAAAATAAGAACAAAAGAAATTGGAATAAATTAAATCATGAAAATATAATATTAATCATTTCTATATGACAGAAAAGACAAAAATGATTGTAGAGTTAATGTAGACGAATGTCCTGAACTGATTTCCTTGATAAAACCGAAATAAGCAATCTCTAAAATTGTTATATATAGTTGGGTGATTGAGTGACATAAATGATATGATATAGTGGATAGCAACATATCTATCCATCCATTACATAAATAATTATCTAACAAACGACATTGGTATTCAGTATGGTGTCAGAGTACGCGGGCGGGTGGCGGTCATTAGGCGTAGCTTAAACTCAAGCATCTAATTAAAAAAGAATTACTAAAACAGCGCAATATAATACAGTTTCATTAGTATCATTTATTTTTTCAAATAGTTCACATGTTGAGTCACAAGAATAACAGTGGATGGCAACATACCTTCTACACTAAAAGTATGCGGACGAGTATGGTTATGAAGTGTGTCTTAATGGTATCCTTACATAAAGATTTATGTTATTTTGTTTAATTTCGCTACCATTAGAATGTGTGAGACCACAAATATACAGTGTAGAAACCTGACCACTGCTAATGGTACCGATAACGGTACCATTAGTACCGATAACGGTCATAAGACCTTACCTATTACTGATACAATTTCGACTGTTATTGAATCTACCCATATTGTGACACGTGTTTCGCATCTAAACGAGGCATCATCAGGCAGCGAATAGAGATCGGATATAATATGTAAACCTAGTGTACCACACTCCGATACAACAGTCCCCGAACAGCGTGATGGTCAGGTCGCCAGGTTTCCGCACTGATTATTTGCGGTCTTAAACACGCTAATGGTAGCGGAATTAAACAAAATAGTGTAAATTTATGAATTAATTAAATGGCCTTCAGCAAAAAAAAAACACATATTTTGAAAAAAAATATAAATAGCATCCCTTAATTTATTAAATCGTTATCATGAATGACAGTAGGTGACAATATACGTTCTACAGTAAATTTTGTATACACAGTAAAAGTACAGTACGTAGATGCCTAGTTGTTATTAAGTATATCTTAATGGCATTTCTCCTTAAGGATTAAACAAAATAATATATATTTTGTTCAATTCTATTAGTGTGGGTAGCAACATCTATAAAATATATGTACACTTTACTTATCCAAGTGACATTGATATTCAGTGCACATGGTGACGGTGTGCACGGGCGGGCGGTGGTCATCAAGCGTGGCTTAAACTCACCTCCGTGATTAATGCACGGTCCACTCCGATTTGCAACGCGGTCGCACACTCAAATTAGCCAATGATTGTAAACTCGTAAATTTACGAAAGGTAAGCTTAATTAGCCAACATTTAAGTTTTATTTTTAAATCCGGATCGCACTTGATCCGTAAAAACGATTAATGCTCCTCGTTAATTCACTCTGATATACGAGTAGATATTTGTTTTCGCTGTATAGTAGAGTCTACATAAGCATGGAGACTAATAGCTGTAAGCTTAAGAGACCTTATTTTATCACACATGTAAGTAAAATGTACTTCCACAAGAATTAACTACCATTGGAAAATTGAGAATACTTATTCATTAGGTTTTCATTAACAATACAATATTAGAGAAGACAAATTATTTTTTATGAATTATAATTTTTCTGTGGTATTGTTAATTAAAACTTAGATATAATTAATCTAAAAATGGGCATCTACGATTTATTTAAACTAACTGTAGTCAAGAAAAGAGTTTAATGATAATTTTGTAATCTGTACGAAGGCGGTCGGCGGATGGTTGCCTTCATTAGCTAAATGGCCAGTTCCGAGTTTTAATTAAATTCTCTTCTTGATGCTAGAGTATTTAAAAAAAGAATTAAGTCATTTTACAAAACGGGCAGGGAGGGCTTGAGAAGATTTGATATTATTACCTAATAAAATTATAGTGTTGTTTATAAAATCTATTGTTGATACAATAATTAAAGTAATTAAATTAATTAAAGCTATAAGTAGGTATATATGGAGACGGTACTATTTTAGGCAGAAAAAAATCTCCGACTTCGTAGTGTAGTGGGATCTCAGATGTTCTATTGTAGATCGCAGATTGTGAATAAACTTGAAGTTTATTGAATTATTAAACGACATAGTGGGAAATTTTCAAGTATCCACATATTCTCCCTTTTGCCGGCCTGCTCATATTATGTAAGCTATCAATGAAATACCAAACGTTCCTTTTGCTCATAAAAGGGTACGGGACGATGGCTTTTAAAGTTGGCTTACTTGACTTGTGTTTGCGAAATCGAATGGTGGACGATGGCGTTCGGGGTTCTGGGTCTGACCCTTGTCAATTGCCCCCGATCTATCACCTCGCACACGAATACGTTTTATCGCTACCTGCCTTACATTTCTGCACTGTGTGTACTATTCTGTAACGTACAAATGAAGTGAGTCGACATTTTTGTATTGTGCCGTTAACTAGCTGAGCCCGCGACTCTGTTTTCGTCTAACTTTCTTCTTTGTTTGTGCACCGATTTCTATAAAATAAAGTAAACAAAATTTTAAGTGAAGCTTACATATATTAGTCAAAACCGCACCCAAATTGTTTAAGGCGTTTTCGAGATTAGCGAATATAAACGCACAGATTACAATAATTTTGTTTTGAGTTTTGATAACGTGATGACGTTGACAAAGTCGCTTAATAATAGTTTTTCTAATAATATGTACGGACAGTGATCAATTACATTTTTATTTATTGATTGATATAGATATGACTTTGGGTCTAATTTGCTTCAGAAAGATATGTGGAGCGGTTGCTTAGTTTTATTTGTGTTTTTTACTTTAGAATTTTCATAAAATATAATATACGATATTATTTTACTACATTGTCTCATATAGATTTTAGTAGATAGTATTTCGACTATACGTAAGAAACCATATCGGAATGCTACAATATTAAATAGTTTTAAAAATTGACATGCGATGTAATTTCAATAATACATCAGAACCAGGAACGGAGGAACAAAGGAGTGTCTTCCCCTGGTTTAAATTCAACAATTCCCAAAGTAGTTAAAATCATAATAGATTTTCATATAAATTTTGAAACATGAAAGAAAATTATAATTTCATTTCATCACTTTGGTAGGAATTGACATGTACTAGTGTAATGACAGGGATCCTATTGCTAGTAAAGTCATATCATATTTACCTCCATATGGTCCTCCCTGGAAACCACACAGGGTAATTCCTAGTGAATTCATCGCGATGGGCTGACCGATCTGACTTTATCCTCCTACAATTATTCTTCAGCCCCAGCGTATACTTTTATCAATATTAATATTCATTTATAAAAAACATTTCCTTATATGAATTTATTAACTGTTACACAATACACTATTACAACAACGTATAAATAAAATAAATATACAGTGTTTATTCTAAACATCCCCATGGTCAACTGTCAATACTGTCTACTGTCAATAGCAAGGCAAGATATTCCAATGCAGTATTGTAGCCATATAACTCAAGGTATTGTTTTATATTAAGTTCTTACATGTGCATGGTAAACTTAGATTTAGTAAGTCCATAGTTGCTAAATCTAATCTACCTATTGTATTTCTATTACGTACATAGATATGGATATTTTATTTATGGTTTTAGAACAGAATAAGTAATTCCTTTCTACCAACTGTTTTTACCATCTAAAGACCCAAAACGTAAATCTTAAATTTATATAATAAACAATGGCTTATATATAACAAAAAGTGTTAGCAATAACTGTAACAATATATAGCAGAATATATAGCCTTTCTTATAAAATATCATCATACGAAATGATACTGCTAATGTATATACAAATGCTGATGACGTTATTATCGTTATTATTAAGGCATAGTAACATGTCAATAATACATAACTAGATTAATAATTATTATAACACAAAATATCTTTTGAACAATGTAAAAGACGAACAAGAGCCATAAAATTGAACATTGGGTGCCGATAACTCGAAACAAGAAACCCCGCTGAAACTTTCCGTGGAAATGCTTGCACAGTTACTGGATGTATGTGGGTCGCTAGTTAAAGCGATATAGCCCGCATTATGTAGGGGAAAGACGTAAAAGACGGCAACTACGACCGAAACTATCTGCGAAGTCATTCGGCACTTCACTGAACTATGTTACTCGCTTGTTTGCCATAAGAATCACGGAACTTATTCATTTACCAATTAATAGTACTATTATCCTCGTATATGCGAAAATTAAAAGATAATCTGATCTAAGAGAAAAAATATCAGTTCAAAGTTATGCAAAAAATGACATATTTTGAAAAATAATTGTAGTAAGCTTATATTATGTGGAG